AATTGACTAGTAGTCATAATTGAAAACCTCAAAATTTTGAGTTATACAAGGGTGCGATTTAATAATATACGGATGATTCCCACAAACCAGTCCGTAGCGGATTTAAATTGGGGTGGTAGGGTCTGCACCCCTCCGGTAGCAAATGCAAAACTTAATTTGTTATAAGTGTAAAGAAATGACTGAATTTCCAGATCCCAGAGTGACCTTCAGTACCCTATATGAACGGTAACTTAATTAAATATAAAATATGGGTAGTGTGTTTTATCACTACACTTAAAAGGCGAATAACGAGAAGACAATTCACTAAACATCCTTCCCTAGGAAAACGACCTTGTCTTACAACTGAAGCTAAGACGGTAGATCGATGGAATGGCATAGGTCGCTATAGAACTTGTAGGTATGGGTGGACGGACAACTCATAACAAATATGAAAAACAATGTAATATCTAAAATCATTACAACATAAAATTCAGTAGTAATAAAAAATGGCGATAATTAACAATAAGATAAATTTTGATTTAGGCACATTAGATAAATAAATTAATCTTTATAAAAGAATTGTATTCATTATTGAGGGAATGCAGTGCAAAGTTTGAGTTATAATGCCATCCATATCAATAATTAACTATCATTTAAACTTTTAAATCATTGTTACATACTAACTTCAATGATTTTGTAAAAATTCATTTTTAATATAATTAATTATTAAATATAAGATATTGTTTTAATTAATTGTAGACGTTGATATGGTATTTTAATAGAAAATATTTTTAACCCAAACGTTACTTAAATTATTCAATTAACAATTTTTTTTAAATCAATAAAATATACATATATAAAAATTATAAATATATATATATTAAAAATTAATTACGTATTATATAGGTTACTTCGCATATTCAATATCTATTAGTCTTTAAGGTCTATAAAAAAATTACATTTTTGTATTATACAAAATAAAAATAACTTGAAAATAAATTTACACGCGCGTAGCGCATGTTTAACTATAACTAAGTACGAATGTAATAATAGTTTTAGTAAAATTTTTTGAAATATTATTTGATTTATAAAAATCTATTAGCTATACAAAAAGTTCCCAAAATTAAGTGTAGAAAAAAAATATATACAGAATGCCCCACTGTGATTTATTAATTTGACTATATAAACTATAATTAAAATTAGTAATCACAGACACTCTACATATATACATATATATATAATTTTAAATTAAGACGGCAATAATACATTTTAACAATTTAATAACCTAGTACAATAATTGGTTATCTTGACTTTTTTCAAAATTTACATTTTCATATTTCCTGATAGAGAGCAATTTTTTCAACTGTTCGATATAATCACTGAGCACAGTCACCCTCTAGAAAATCAAATATTGTAATGTAGAGATGCCTAATATTCAGATTTTAGTACTAAAGTAAGTTATTTGTGTATATTGAACAATTTCACAAAATAAGGAAATAGCCGTTTATTACATTGATTCTTTCAATTAACGTTTAAGAGAACAGTGGCAAATCCTAAGAACATCGCAACGTTCTCTCTTCTTGAACTATTATCACATACTTAATAAAAAGTATTTTGAATGATAAAACTGGCAAAAAATTGGTTTTAATATCTTTAAGCGACACTCTTTGAAAAAATGTTGTATCCACATCTGATTAAAAGAGACTTAAGGAGTTTTAATTTCCCATAAAAAAGTACATCATTGTATTATTTTGTTAGAAGATTAAATTTGTATATCAATTGTCCTAATATATTTAATTTAATNTAAATTTGTATATCAATTGTCCAAATATATTTAATTTAATTTTAAAACAATAGGTAGTTGTGCATTATTTAGCTTCGATGTGAGGCTGAGACGGTATTAATTTTACTATGATGATTTTTTTTTGTGTTTGTTACCACTTTTTCTTAGCTCTCACCGAACCGAAATCTTTCAATAATACGTTAAAAGATCACAAATCGTATCTAGTCGAAAACATAACTCTCAAAAATTGAAAACATTTCCCTTGTTCTCCGTAAATGGGGAAAATCTACAAAAAATTACAAATTTAAAAATCGGTAATTTTCGACATTTTTTCATTTTTTTTTACTGATAACTGCCATAACTTTTTTAATAATGACCAAATCAATATAATTTTTTTTTTAGCTTCGATGCGAAGCGGAGAAGGTATTAATTTTACTATGATGTGTTTTTTTTTTTTTTTTTTTTTTTT